AGGAGAAGGTCAACATTTCTATTATTTTTTATGTAGGTAGAATGTATTTGTATTGGCCATACTCTGCTAGCATTAGTCATGTTGTACCTTATTCTGTGAATAGTCGTATTGATTTAATGGGGACTTCTTGGGGAGCAAGTCCCTACTCAGTGTAAATGTGGCAGAATCTGGCTTTATGGATTTGGAGAGAGCACTTAAAATTGGATGACACAAACAAATTAAGTGCCACTTGCGCAGTAATGCTAGAGTAATAGAAGCTGCATCTTGACAGTGGTGGCTAAAAGCAACAGTTAATAAACAACGCTGGGATTGGCAGCTGTTGGCTTCCTGCTGTGAAAAGTCTCTTCAGTAGCCCTCTCAAAAGAATTTCAAGCTGCAGGAGTATAACCGAGTCTAAATCCCAAAAAAGAGGCACCCCCCGAAAGCCCTGAGCATGAAACCCCAGTCTCTCTTGAACACCTTGCTTTGACTGCAACTCCAGACATAGCCTGGCACCATAAAGAAAGCAGGGCTACAATGCACTTCTCGCTTCTCACTCACACACTGAGTCTGAGTGACAACGATTATATGCAGTCTCTGCACTCCTCCCAGAAACTGTAACACCATGAAGTCTGGAGCCAGCACCCATCTGAGAGTTGCAGGTGCCCTTCAAGTTAACCTCTGTAGACAAATAAAGTATAGAGCTTCCTACTGGTCAGCACTGCTGATAATGTATTACATTACAATAGAGGACAAAGGCTAGAGGATACAACCCAACAGGATGTGCAGTCAGCAGAGTATCTCCGAGGTCCTATATGTCACTTGGTTACATGTCGACTTGAACAAAATTAGAGTTAGAACACAATGAATACTGGTAATTAATGTTGCCACAAGCAACAGTGATTTTAAGGGAGAGGTTCACAAAGTGTACAACTTGTAAAGCTGAAACAATTAGGAAATAAAGTGCAAGGTGCTACTAAGGTTAGAATTAGTCAGAGCAATCACCTTTTTAAGGCTCGTGTCCCTTGTGCTTGAATACTACAACAGTGTACTGTGTGATTTTTATTTCATCTATAATGAAAATCTCTGTTTACTCACGGACGTTAATGACAACATGATCCATGTGGGCTGGTCCTGTATACAAATATCCATGCTGTGTTTCCAGGGGACCCTCTAGATTTCATTGGGGATAAATCAAATACATGATGTGTTAAGGATTTGATTAGCACAGGTGCAAATACATAGCTACTTTGCTTGTGCAAAGTTGGACTGGATGCTGGTGTGCAAATTGGGATTTGTGTGTGTACATGGTTGGATGGTAATCTATCTAGCCTGCAAGTACAGAAATTGGAATTTATGAATATCTAACCATAGTGCACATACAAAATAACACATTTGCGTGTACACAAATGCACAACTAGCTAAGGTCTGAAAAATTGGCCCTAAACCACCTAAGGAAATGAACAAACTAAAACAAACTCGTACTGATTCCAAGTATTCTATTGTTCTATACGGAAA